CGACGCCCCAGTCACCCTCCCTCCGGCGCCTGCCCACCTGCAGCTCCTGCTTCAATGGCGGCACCTGCGTGGATGGCATCGACTCCTTCACCTGCCTGTGCCCGCCTGGCTTCACGGGCAGCTACTGTGAGCACGACATCAACGAGTGTGACTCGCGGCCCTGCCTGCACGGCGGCACCTGCCAGGACAGCTACGGCACCTACAAGTGCACCTGCCCGCTAGCACGTGCTCCTGGGGGTCTGGATGGCCAGCCTGGCCCTGGCCTGGCCTGTGCTGCCCCCGGAGGAGGCAGAGCTGCTGGACGGGCGGTCATCCAGGCCAGGGAGCAGAGGTCTGTGGAGAGAGCAGGGACCAGGTGATGCAGGGGAAAGATTGGTTGTACAGGGTTTTTTTTTGTTTTGCTTTAATATATCCTTATTCCAGAGAGGGAGAGGGAGAGAGAGAGAAACATCCATGATGAGAGAGAATCACTGATCGGCTGCCTCCCGTACGCCCCCCACTGGGGGTCAAGCCTGCAACCTGGGCCTGTGCCCTGACCCAGAATCAAACCCGGGACCCTTCAGTCCACAGGCCAGCGCTCTATCCACTGAGTCAAACCGGCTAGGGTGGCTGGGGAAGGATTGTTAAAAGCTCATGTTTTTATGGGAAATATACAAAAGTATTAATGGTTGACCTGCCTGAGGAGATTTTCACATAAATACCAATTACAAAAACTCCCAGCAAAAGCGTCTACTGATACAAGATCTTCCTTGGAGGAAAGGGGTCTGGATTTGCTGGGGGGGAGAGAGAGAGAGAGAGAGAGAGAGAGCGAGAGGCCCCGCCCAGTCCCAGGCTACCCCCTCCCACATGTAGTGGGAGCCCGCGGGCCTCAGTCTCCACCTCTGTGGGTTGGGCGTGAGGTTTTCTGGTGCGTGTGGGCTGCGCGGCCGGGAGGGGGGTATGAACGCTGCCCTCGCCCCCAGAACCTGGTGCGCTGGTGCGACTCCTCGCCCTGCAAGAACGGCGGCAAGTGCTGGCAGACCAACGTCCTGTACCGCTGCGAGTGCCACAGCGGCTGGACCGGCCTCTACTGCGCACACTCCTGCCACCGTGCGCCTCACAGGCATCGACGTGACCCACCTGTGCCGGAACGGCGGGCTCTGCATGGACGCGGACAACACGCACCACTGCCGCTGCCAGCCGGGCTACACAGGCAGCTACTGCGAGGACCAGGTGGACGAGTGCTCGCCCAGCCCCTGCCAGAACGGGGCCACCTGCACCGACTACCCCGGTGGCTACTCCTGCGAGGTGGGGACCCATCCCGGGGGAGGGAGGGATGTGTCTGGTGTGGCACTGAGTGCTGGGCCCTGGGTTAGAAGCCAGCTCAGTAGGGAAGACTCAGCCCAGCAGATGCGGATGCCTTAACCAGGGAAGGCTGCCTGGAGGAGGTGTCCCGAGGGGGAGGAGGGAGTGGCTGGAAGAAGAAGATGCACTGAGAAGTTGGACAGGGTTTCCCTCCTGTAGGATTTTTCCCCCTTGTTCACCTGACACCCCTCCTGAGACCCCCCACATCTCTCTCAGGAGATGGGGCCTGGCCCCTGCTCTGGGCCATGACTTAGTTTATTGGAGCCCTTCTCAGGGTCGGCTGGACAAGAGTCTGCCTCCGGGTCAGCCCGATGTGCCGCTGACACCCCCTGCACCGAGGGGCTGGCCCTGCACACGTGTCTGCTGAGGCCTCCCCTGTCCTCATGCCCCTCAAGGTCATCTCTCGTGTCCGTGAACTTGACTTGCAGAGCAGTTTTATTGATTTACTTATTTGTTTGCTTAATATCTTCTTATTGATGTCAGAGAGGAAGGGAGAGGGGGAGAGAGAGAGAAACATCAATGACGAGAGAGAATCATTGATCGGCTGCCTCCTGCACGCCCCCCACTGGGATTGAGCCCGCAACCCGGGTACGTGCCCTTGTCCAGGCTAGAACCTGGGACCCTTCAGTCCGCGGGCCGACGCGCTATCCGCTGAGCCACACCAGCCAGGGCCAGAGCAGTTTCAGATTCTCAGAACAATCCTGCGGAAAATAGGGTTCCCAGTTCTGCTATTAGCTGCTTGGTCCCGGGGTCCACTGTTACTGTGGACACTGTTACTATCGACGAGCTGACGTCGATGCCTTGTTACTAAGCCAAGGCCGCAGCGCTCCCCCGGGCGCAGGCTGGCTCCCATGTTGCTCTGCGGGCTCTGGATTCTGACATGCAGAGTGAGGCGTCCGCCGTGGGACGCACGGCGTCGGTGTTGTCTCCTGGGGCCCTGGGAACCCTGTGTGTTCGCCTGTGCGTCCTGTTGCCCTTCCCGCCAACCTGAGCTTTTTATGTTCACAGAAGAGCTCTTTACTTTTTTATTTTTTTAACATATATTTTTACTGATTTCAGAGAGGGCGGGAGAGGGCGAGAGAGGAACATCAATGATGAGAGAGACTCATTGGTCGGCTGCCTCCTGCACGCCCCGCACTGAGGATCCAGCCCGCAACCCGGGCCTGTGCCCTGACCGGGAATCGGACCGTGACCTCCTGGTTCCTAAATCAACGCTCAACCACTGAGCCACCCGGTCGGGCCACAGAATATCTCTTTAAGGGGTTCTGCTGCCCAGGGAAAGGCGGCCGGCCC